GGTAAATCTTCCCACCAGCCCTCATCCACCACCAGTGCCACGGCCACGGCCACGGCCACTACCACCATCACCACCACCCCTGGACACCTGCCATTCCCCCCTCTTCTCCATTACCTCCATCGCGTCGCCCCTCGAGGACACGCCACCATGTCCAATGAACTCACCCCCAGCTTTGCGCCATTCTTCGGAATGGTAAGTGTCGACCCCAATCCTCCTTTGATGACTTCATAGCTAACCACAAAGTACGCAGAGTGGTATCGCCTTTGCCGTGAGTCCCAAGCCATCCGTAAAGCTTGCCCGCTAATATACGAACCTCGACTTAGATGATCTTTGGATGTAAGCTACGCGTCTGCACAAGAGCATGGGGGTCTGCATAGAAGCTAATGGTCGGTAGGCATGGGCGCCGCCTACGGTACCGCAAAGGCCGGTATTGGCATCGCGGGTATCGGTACCTACAGGCCAGACTTGATTATGAAGGTATGCATCTACTGCCTGCTCGAGACTCGTGCTTGGCTGACGCGGCGATCAGTCCCTCATCCCCATTGTCATGTCGGGTATCCTCGCAGTCTACTCGCTCGTCATCTCCGTCCTCATCGCCAGTGACATCCACCCACCGCCCCAGAAACACTACTCTCTATACGCTGGCTTCATGCACATGGCTGCCGGTCTGTCTGTCGGTCTCTCTGGACTGGCAGCGGGTTATGCTATTGGAATTGTCGGCGACGCAGTATGTCTAGCTACTTGGACACTACCCATGGGGGAACTCTCTTCTGACAACCAAATCTCAGGGTGTGCGTTCTTTCATGAGCCAGTCGCGCATCTTTGTCGGCATGGTCTTGATTCTCATTTTCGCCGAAGTGTTGGGTCTGTACGGGTACGTCGACGGCTCGAGGGGAGAAAAGGTGGATCCAGGACGTGCTAACCGTTCCAGGCTTATCGTCGCATTGATTCTCAACACCAGGGCCTCTGGTTGAAGCATGCTAGCATGTACCCTTTGAATTTGTACAAGTGCATTTATGTGGAAGATAGTTTAGTAGGGGGGAAGGATGCAACCTATGGGAGTTTGGAGCCAAGGCGGATACAACTGACACGGGCCGCATACCTGATTGATATGGCGCAGCGCAGTCAGCGTCCAGCATTCCCACATTGCGCTGGTGGGAAGGGTATGCGAATGTCATATATATTGATAGCGGAGTTGGGCATCATTCTGGCTATAGAGATGAATCAATCCATGGGCTTGCTATCCATGGGCCGCCTCACAACTAGCGACGATAGGGTAGTATGCCTGTTATTGCTGTTGTTGTTGTTGTTGGTGTGGTACTTTGGGCCAGTCGGAGTAGATTGTAGCTGCGCAGCGTGATGGCATGCGACAAGAGTGCCAGAGCCAGAGGGATGGTAAAGGGCTGCAGGCCCGGTCCAAGGTTCAAGGGTCAGCGGGAAGCTAATCAAGGGTGGATTGCCAGTGCACGTTACAAACATGTCGACTCCGAAACAAGGTACGGTACCTACGGCATCGCAACGCCTTTCTCAAACCACCGATAGGTAAATATCGGCGCTCATGGCCCACAGAATTGATTGAACAGGGGGACTACCGGAGAGTAGGGGGACGGTGATCGTCAAGTAGAGTAGAGCGAGGCGGGCATACTGTGTGCTAAGGCAATGAAGAAGTTGACAGCTACTCTAGTTACAGCTAACAGTAAGCGTGGCAATCGATGGTTCTTTGCTGCACAGTTCCACGAGAGGTTAGGGTATGATGCTGCAGGTAGTAAGTAAAACAAGGTACCGGGTACATGTAGTATGGAGGTACTGGGTGTGTGTAGGTGCATACTTGGTAGTACAGTAACCGGTCAACGGTGCACGTTCTCCCCGTTTTCTACAGCCCTTCGCCCTTCAGTCAGTCGGCTTTGTTGCAACACGAAGCGAAACAACCCGCGGTGCGTCATCTTTTTGCGCCTCACGTTCCCCACCCCCACCCCCTTCCGCCCCCCGCCATGCAGCTGTCTTTATACCGTGCTGCCCCTTGCCCACATGGTGAAAGCTGCGACACGCCCGGCCGCTCCGCCTACCTGCAGGTCGACAGTCGACAACTTCTCCCCAGTGCTCTCCGTCGCTGTACTACTCTACCGGTACTCTGTGCGCGACGTGTGCTTGGATTCTCTCGCCAGCCCTTACGGACGCGGATCAAAACACGCCTGCCCCAACTGACTTACTGCGACGGCCGACTGCCATGCGGCACACCTGACCTGCATCGCATCGCTGTCGCCATCGCCATCATCATCGCCATAGTCATAGCCTCGCGTCGCCTCGCTTCGCCTCGCCACATCACCATTGCTAGTACGAGAAGCGGAAGCCGCGCCCGGTTGCTCCTTCACGCTCAGCCTCAGCCTCAACCTCGACACGCCGCGCCCGCCGAGGAGGCCCATCAGCCGCCGCCATGGTGACGGGCATCCACAGCCTGCTGCACCACCACCACCACCGGGACAAGAAGGAGGCAGAGCACTCTGGCCCGCTGCACGACCGCACCGACTCGGCCATGGAGCGCCCGCGCGAGGAAGAGAAGCAGACACTCGCGCAGTGGGAGGCCCGCAAGCGCACCATGAGCCCCGACGAAATCGATGTCGACCCCAGTCAAAAGGCCGTGGGGCACTCGTCCAAGGTGTTACGCGAAGAAGACTTTGAACTGATCAAGACTCTGGGAACCGGTGCGCCTTCTTCCACCATTTTGACTCCTCTTTCGCTGTTGCACTATGCCACCGTTCTCTTATCCCCCCCTGTTCCCTCACCACGACACTTGATTTCCAAGATACACAGCCGAACCAGCCGCTTACACTCTTCCAGGCACTTTTGCGCGCGTCTGGCTGGTCCGGCTCAAAGATGCGAAAAAGGGCGACGAGGACAAGGTCTTTGCGCTCAAGATCCTGCGCAAGGTCGACGGTAGGTGGCCTCCCCGTTCGCCTACGCCGGTGCACGACCGCAGACTGACATGGCCACGCTCCTAGTCATTCGCTTGAAGCAAGTCGAACACGTCCGCAACGAGCGCAATGTCCTTGCCAAGGTCGCAGGCCACCCCTTCATCACCACAATGGTGGCCAGCTTCCAATCGCTCGACTCGTTATACATGGTGGTACGCTGGCACAGATACTTTTGGTTGGGAACGGGTCAATGAGCTGACGCGTACTCGACAGCTCGACTACTGCCCTGGAGGCGAGGTCTTTAGTTACCTGCGAAGAGCGCGCCGCTTCAACGAGCCCACGTCGCAATTCTACGCTGCCGAGATTGTACTTATATTGGAATTTTTGCATGAGAGAGAAGGCGTGGCATATCGAGACTTGAAGCCAGAAAACATACTCATTGACGCCGAGGGTCATTTGAAGCTGGTTGATTTTGGGTTTGCGAAAAAGGTGGAGAATAGTAGGTCAATCGGCTCACCGCAAGGCTTAGCTGCTGACGGTTGAACAGGGGAGACTTACACCCTTTGCGGCACACCCGAGTACCTGGCCCCGGAAGTGATCCGAAACACAGGTCCGTTAAATCCAAGACATGGCAAGGCACAAGCAAGCTAACAAGCACAAAACCAGGCCACGGTACAGCAGTAGACTGGTGGGCCTTTGGCATCCTCGTCTACGAATTCCTCGTCGGCCAACCCCCCTTCTGGGACCAAAACCCAATGAAAATCTACGAACAGTTGGTCTCCCCCCTCTGCAACTTACCTCCCTCTTTCTCCCTCGTCCCCTAACCCAGCCCCCATCTACAGAATCGTAGAAGGCCGCCTCCGCTTCCCGAGCGCAATGTCCCCCGCCGCCCGCGACCTCATCTCCGGCCTCTGCACCGTCGACACCTCGAAGCGGCTCGGCAACATCTCAGGCGGCGCGTCGCGCGTCAAGGCCCACGAATGGTTCCAGTCGATTGATTGGGAGAAGCTGTATAATCGCGAGGTCCAGGGCCCGATTGTGCCGCACCTGCGCGGCCCGGCGGATACGCGGAATTTCGACGAGTATGAGGATGAGAGCGATAAGCGGGATCCGTATACCAAGGAGTTGAGCGATCGGTGGGAGGAAATGTTCAAGGATTTTTGAGCAGTGGGTGGGGAGAGTGGGGGAAGGGAGGGGGGCAGGTGGAGATGGGAGAAGGGGAAGTGGAATGGGGAAACGATGATGATGTGGGAGAAAACGATTAAGAAGAAGAAGGATACCAAGGCTATAACAAGGATAAGAAGACCCCCAAACACGAATCAATACATTCTCCTACCTTCTATCTCGGTCCCCTCTCCCCTCACCTCCCCCCCTCCCTTCTTTCTATACCGCGCGTTTCACCCCAACCGCAGCACTCTTTTTTTTTTTGGCGGTTGTCTGTGTTTTTGGGGAGGGGTGGGGGAGGAAGAGATGCAGAGAAAGAGAGAAAGAGAGAAGGAGAGAAGGAGAGAAAGAGAGAAGGAGAGAAAGAGAGAAAGAAAGAACCCCTCCCACCACCCTCACCCTCTCACATAGTATATCCACATAAACCAACGTACCTGTCTTGTACGCTTGGTCTGCGTGCGTGTGCTGTGTTGGCTAGGCGGGGGGTCGGGGCGGGAGTTGGGTGTGGTGCGGGTGTGATGGGGCAGGGGTGATGGGGCAGGGGTAGGGGGAGCAGAGTCAAACATGGTTGAAGAGTTGGTG